AAAAACTGCCCAGACAGGGCCGCAAGGCTAACTACTACAACCGCCCCGCGCTGCAACTAAGGCCGAGTGCGATATGACTAGATCACAACCGTAACCACTTTGAAGAGTAATTACGTCGGCCCAGCGGATGATATGAACTGTGCCGCATCAGCGTAATTGTTTGCCCGTAAGCAGCTTACGCTTTTCAATAGACGGATCCCGAGCGACCAGTTGCGTTGCGCATCCTATGGAACAAGGTAATTACTTAATAAAGTGTGATAAATGCGATCATTCCTTCTAGAAAGCACCAATAACGTAAGGGCTAACTAGAGATTCATTTCTCTATTATCTGAGCCAAGAAACATTCTTAGAGCTTTACTTACCCTTGCCCGAGTCTAGTCTCTCAAGTCATCCTCAGCTGCCCAGTAAATTCAACATAGTAAGCCCGGTGGTGCCGATGGATATCGCAGATTACAGTGCCATCGTCGTATTCTGGATCTTTCGCAAACACAAGGCCAGGATGCTGCGCACACTTCAGTGTTGGAGGGCCAGCTCCATCACCTATAATCGAGCAATCCTCGCCGTCGTAGAGCACAGAAGCTACGGGCCATTCTCCAGCGGGAGTCATAGGAGGTACCTCGATGTCGCTAATGACTGGGTTTGAGTGAACCGGTCCTTCGTGGTGATAGACCTTGTGAAAGGGCCTGACATTGCAAGGATCAACTGAGACGCCTTGAGGCCCAAAGTAAACGCCCCAATTATGTGCATAGCTGAAGACGTTCTCTTCATAAAGGATTTGAAGGGAGTTCTCATGCAATGAGAAGCGTCTTGCTATACTAGCACTTGCTGATTCGTTCAATGCAGCTGGAGCGCAGATTTCACAGGAAACATCTGCTTCCTCGCTATCTCTGTATGCTCCACGCATGTTTAGCTGGGGAGAACATGCTACCGGTGAAGCTAATGCCATAAACAGTACCCTTGAAGCTATGCTCGACAGCGAGATCATAGTAAGTTACCTCTGCTAGTTCGTGACTAACTAATTGTAGCAAGAGAGGTGAAGAGTGGCACAGGAAAGATAATTGTAGAGACAGTGAAAGAGCAGTTTTTGAATTAGGTGCTTAGGCCCAGTAAACATAGTTTTATGCTAACAACGCGAGCCCATAAGCATAAGCAACACCATAACGATTCAGTCATGCCTGTACTTCCCAGCTTGCATCAGCCTAAGCTTCACTGAGCTAAACCAGTCAAAGCAGCCTAATCCACTAACTACAGCCGCTTCCATTCGCCGTTGGGAAAGGAAATGCTTCACTGCCGTTGCAGTAAGCAAAATAGATGCAACTTCTCTTAGAGATGCAAAAAACGCACACGTATTTAATAAAGTACTTTTTATAATCATACAGTTAGGGTGGCGATTGCGATGGGCTGCGAGGACAGAGGGTATTTAATCCCACGTGGCTGAAAGCGCTACAGCCATCCTTTGTCTATCCCTTTCCTCAAGGCAGTTCGTCCCTGCTTCACTATTTGACCCCTGTGCAAACGCCATTTTACATCGCTATCATATATTTAGGTACCTGCAAAAGCAGCGCAAGCGCGAAATATAATTATCTTGGGGTTTGGCACTACTCAAACCCCNCTTATATAGCCTACCGGCTGACACAGGACGCTAAACCAAAAAAAAAAAAAAAAAAAAAAAGATACCAAAGGATATCGATATAATCTTCTCTATTTCAGCAATGCAGTAGATCATTATGAAGGCCTGAAACTGGATCTTTCGCGAGGACGACGGAACAAATCAGTTGCTTTTGACACGATTTCTAAGGGGGATCGGAAACAGAGGGACCTTGTACGCAGAACATACTCCCATGCCTGTCGATACTTGGAATTTTTAGAAATAGGAGGTCCAGGTTCTCTGTTATCGATGAACGCCACCAAATTTGAGTAAGTATAGAAAATCCGAATTTAACTACTGCTAATGTATAGTAGTATGGAAAATCTTAATAACGAAGATATTCTGTTACTGTGCGGTTATCGCAAGCTCCACGCTTCTATCGAAAAGCAATCTAGATCCTTGGATTTCATTGTAGCAGAAGAGCTTGTCAAAGGTCTTTTGGCTCAAGGCATCGAGAGAGTCGATATCACGAAGGGACTTACCCGTTTGACAAAGCTCATTTGCCGTCATGTAGATACGAAGTCACTTGCCGAGGGCGGCAAGATACTCCCCAAACTTGTCACGACAGACAGCAATGAATACCGCAAGCGTGCTTCACGATCGCCAGCAGAACCTGGACCTGGAATAGATGCCAGGTTACCCTCTCATACCATTTCTCCTCGACAACAAGGACCTATACCCATCTCTCATGCTCTGCGAAGCCGGCAATCATATCATGCTGCAGAGACGCGCCTGAATTCCTCCAAACGACGGAGAATCTCTAGGAATGAAGGCTTACAAACTCTGACGGAATCAGACAGCATGCAAGAAAATGAAGAGACCTGCTTTATGCCTTGTCCAAATGCTTCACGATTTAATGCCGGGACGGGAGCCTATGACCAGGGAGATCACCAAACTGAAGGAACCTTAAATACCCTTCGGTCATTGGAACATGGTTACGAAGACTACTTAGACACTACTGCTGTCGAATTGCGCCGGCAGCCATTCTTATCATACATCAGCTCATTCCAGGGTGAGCAGTCTTCATACACCTTTCGAGACCTCGAGTACGAACCAAGATCATCGTCAAATGCTTCAAACGGGGTATTGGATCAATTCTGTTCACCAGAAAATGAAGACACAATGGGAGAGGCGAGCAGTGTACCGAGCTTCGGTGATATTAGGGAGGAAGAAGATAAAGATGACAGCGAATTACCTTCAGTGGTGGTCAAAGATCTTCGCATTGGGGAGCAACGTTTAGGAGATCTCGATTTGTTTACTCTCTACTAATTCACATCATCCGCTGGCTCGATAAACAGTTTTTGAGTCAGGACTGGAGTGTCTAATGGCACTGGCTGGTACAAAACCCCTTCGAATACTACAACAACTATATCGTGTTGCAATGTTATTTCATCAGCCTCGCCAGTCGACTTGTTTCGCAACTTTAGCTTCGCATTGCTATGAGGCGCATGGAAAGGTTGAAGAATAATAATATCGTGTTTGGAAGTCTCCAGCCAAGGAGGTGGCTGCTGAGAGCTTATCTGCAGTCGGAGGACTGTAGGAGGAAGTTGATATTCTTCGGGCTTAGCCTTTCTTATCTTCGCTTTCGCGAAATCTGCTACTAGGCGCTGGACATCTCGTACCTTTTGTCAACGTTAGAAAGTATCATCAGTAATATACGCATCTAGCATACTATAGTGTTGTTGAGCGCAATCCTGAATGGGACCGTTACTTCTCCAGGAATATGCGAGAGGGCTATCTGTGGCCTTGGCGTGTTCTCGAAGTCCACATCCTTCCATTGATCTTTGGGTAGCAAGGCGATCTTTTCAGAGATTTTGCGGGCTTCTTCTGTGAGATTTGTAGTTATAAGTTTGAATAGCACCATGACAGTATTGCTTTCACGAAGCTCGAGGTTGAGTATACGAAAGATCGCGCAAAGGCAGGCACCGAGCTTTTCACATCTCCGCATGACACGTGCATTGATGATCGTTTATGCAAGACGGGAAGTGCATGCGGGGCACTACTATGAATTTAGGTGTCGGAAGAACAATGTTCCTTCGCTTATCTCCTATTGGCTAGAACTTTGCAAGTAGACGAATCACTGCGTTCCATTAGATTTTTCGTCACTTTGACCATAGTCATAGTACTCCTTGTATTCTTCACCCGTCACAGAATCATTTGAGACCCTCAAAGTGCCCACAGAAACTGCCACAGAAGTTTGGGAAACCGATTCACTTGTTCCCTGAGCGCTACCTTGGGTTTGGTGTCTGTCTCCGTTCGTTCTACCAGCGTTTGCCTGACCCGCTGAAGCATTCGTATTCGAACTATCAGAACGACCCGACTGGTTACTGGTCATGATTGGGGAGTTGTCGTGCGTAAGGCGAAAGTACCGACAGCTATCAAGCGTAAGCGGTGAATCTGTATTGCATTTCTTACGATATCCACAAATAACTAGAGCTTCGTCTTGCGGCGTAAATTCTGTCTTCCGGGTGGGGACCACCGACATATGTTGAATAATATATAACGCTCTGAAGAGTAGTGAAAATGCTACCGCTGTCGCCCTTACCACTTCATAAAACCTATGATAGTTTGCTAAGAGATACTTTGCCAACTCACATTGGATTGAGATAGAGCCTGTAGGCGTACGGGACCAAAACCGTTCCTACTATTTTGGATACCGACAAGTCAGTGAAATTATGAGTTGATCGGCTAGCAAGTCAAGAAGCGACAAAGAATTGATGAAGTCGTTGATATGGGGAAAAGATTGCGATGCGCGACTCAATGAATGGTAGCACTAAGCTCTCATTCTACTGATAGCGCGTAGTGCAAACACTGGGTAGCAAGTACTTGCACGATGTACTAGAGAACAATAACTATGTAGAAGATGTTGGACGATAGAAGAGTAGATCAAGCAACTCAACAAATCTAGACTGATTGCTGACCTTTATACTTGACTCCATCGCCTCACTTGCATTTGCTATTCCTCGAATTGCCCAGAATTACGCCCCTTTCCAATACTACAACAGATCAACCCCTCCGCGAAAGCGACAAGCAATTGCTGTATCCTTGAATCACACCAAAGCGCATGGTCCATGTCGCTCTGACTGCATGGATACTTGATTTTATAGAGTGGCTTGCAGACTACTTCTCTTTCGGTGTAGATTGAGACGGTGGGTCTTTTACTGTGCATATTGCACTAGTCTGTCCATTAACATGCATATTGGGAGATAATATATTACCTCCTTCTGTATGTTTTGAGATAGCTGCACGCTTTGAGAAAATACCATACAGTGGCAAGGCTCGAAAGGTTCGCATGATGCTTCGCACCCACCAAAATTTGAGTTATACGAATCGCAGCCTTCTAATACTAGAGGCAACTTGGGTGATCACACGTTCAGTTTATTCGACGCCCTCGTTTATCAATCTGCGATGAGACAGCATGGGGATTATGCATGTGAAAAGTAGTCTCTAAAATTTTGCAAAGTTCTTAGCACAAGGTAGATCTCAAGTGTGACCGCAGAACTGCTGACGCGCGAAAATGAAAATTTCGATTTTAGAACCATAGCGCCAAGATATCAATACAAGAATTCACAGTCCACTTGTCACCACAACACGAACAGACGCGCAAGCCGAATCACGAATGATGCTAACTCTGTAAATTAACAGCGTAGTCATATGCGCCACTCTATGTGCCATGTGCCCTCTAAGTAGACAGGTTATCAGTAAACACTGCGGAAATTTGTGTACGCATCGCTTTTGACTTTGACACGTGACCTTTACGCGGGGCCAAAGGTGGGGCACAAGATCTATTCGCGAAGCCGCCTGACGTGTGCAGATATCTTTCGGGCAGCAATGCTCGACAGTCATACTTTCCTGATTCCATCCAACAAGATATATGTCATACTACCGATCACGAAGTTCCTCACACTGCTTGTAATACTATCGCTTGACCTTTACAAACCGTCGCCACAACTACCTCGATTCTTGCGACGTCACCCTCCAGTTCCAACCAGACACATATTGACAGCTTCGAAATTCACGAATAATTCTTTACCTGTTCCGATAATGGCGGTGTGTTATGTCAATTCTTTCGTCCTTATTCGCTGCTAATCAAACTAGAGGGGCGATAAGGCTCTTGCAGGCGAAGAGGAAAAGGACATTCCCGGACACCTATTCCCTCCAGACTCTTCGAAAGACCGAACGATATATTTTCGAGGATTATATCTTTCGATAGTCAACAAGGATACGAACGACGTGAAAACACATATAGACAACACCACCGCTACAACTCTGTATGAAGCCTATGAGATTCCGGCTGGATATACATGTTATGTCAGGGGTGCTAGCGTTTATTTCAAGACTTAAGAGGAGAGAGCTAGTTGTAGGGAGAACAGTTCTATCAGTCGATAGCCATCGTCATGACCGCACCATATGGTAAGAGATACGTCTTGCGTGTGATCTTTTGGGAACAACAAAGCGAAGGTTCCTGTACACTCTAATCCTTGATCCCTTTCCCATTTCCAGAGACGACTGTTTTGAATGATTGAGCTGAAGGGTTCAGGCAATGCTGAAACCTCGCGTGCTAACGCATCTGTGTACATATACTTCATTGCTAAACACTTGACTATCAACAATGTATCGTATGCGTGCCGATCTGACTTACCTCTCTCTTCATGCGATAGCGAGTTTGCTGGTACTACTACAAGCTTCTGGGCTTCGTTCTGCTGCCCCATGCCACTCCTCAGACCATGATTTGGTTCCGGGTCTTAGCAATGTTAGCTGCTGACCGACCTCTGAAAGCTCAACGTACCAATGCAAGGGCGTTTCGAAGTTCTCGCAGGCTCTAGGTCTTGATGCTCCAGTTCTTCATGCTCTAGTTCCTGATACGCTAGGATAGATGTGAGTCGACTTGATGCTCATTAGGATGATATTACTTACTTCTTTTGAAGGCAGTTCCCGATTTCGCATAACCTGCGACTGCAGCCCGCAATTCTGTACGATGCATCCAGCCGGAAGGTAGCGTGATTGTATCTATGTATTTGGGAGCCATTTCCATTAGGCAATCAAACACGTCCTGGCTCATTTTTCGGATGTCCAAAACTGTGTAGGAAGCGCTTACTAACATGAATGCCTTCATCTCAAGAGACCGCAACATCTCAAATCTGGCTCCAGGGCTTTCCTTATCGCCATGCACCATTGTAACCATTTTTTCAACTCTAGATCTGTAACGAGCGTTCAAGCGGTCCGTTTCATGCAGCCATCTCTTAGTGTCTGCAAGCGTTTCATGCACTTGAAATTCGCAGTTCAACTGGTGCATCTTTCTTCTGATCGCCTCGAAGTCCATCTTTGTGGCACTGACAGTCCATATGCGGTTTTGGATCGTGTTCAGGTCCGCTAATAGTCGGTTGATCTCCATGACTTCAAAATTGAAAGCTGACAGCCACGAGACAGGGGTGGCAAAACAGAAGTTTATGGTATTGCAAGGAGACTGTGAACCAACTGTGATCTGATATTTCCGAAATAGAGAAATCACGTGTATGTTGCAAGACTGAAATCTTCGTTATGGCATGCTGATGTGGCACAATTCTTAAACTGACAGTTTCGATAGCGCATATTCATGCGCCAAGATTTTAAAACTGAAATTTTCAATACTCCAGATTCATGCGCCAAGAGATCAAAGCTGCAAAGTTCAAGCACCATCGGCTGACGACCGACCAGCTGCGCGATTGTTGAATTGACTACTCGAACTATCGGTATATAGCCATACGTGGCTTTTTGCACAAAGCCGAGTACGCTAACTCGAGTTTTCAGTCCGAAGTCACGAAGTACTAGGGCTACACCGTTAGTTGATCCCGTAGCAATGCCGCAGAACTGGGCTTATCAAAAAGAAATTGTGGCTAACTGGGCCAACTCCGCATGTATACGGAAACAACAAAAAGGAAACGAACTTGGCAAGGCACACCGTTGACGTTATGTCTTTCACGCATTCTAGGTCCGAAAACCCATTAACTATCAATTGGACGAATGCATGTATGCCATGGCGGCATTGCAGAACACGCTATGCCAAGATCTGCGGCACAGCATACTCAGATACGTCAAGATTAGCTAGGTATATCGGAGTCGTATCCTTAAACAAGCAATCAGGGAAAGGATGTGACGGATAAGACGAACGAGAATAAGCTTCCAGGCAGAGATAGATGACGGTGGGGGGGCGGCGAACCTGAGGGGGGACCGTGTCTCGTTTCGGCGAGATGAAGTGGGGCACGACGGAACAACTGGTATCCGAACCGCGTCAGCTGTCTGCCAAGTTAGCCTAGCCGGGCATAGCTGCTAAAGCACGGCTGCAGCTGTGAATCAATCCAGTCCTCCTTTGCCGACAATCAGAAGACAGTCTACTAGGCAATCTTCACGCATCTCTGCTCACGTTCAGTACGCCTCTTATCCCAGAGAATCTGTCGCAAGTAAACCATCTCTGTAAAGATATATCTGCGCCACCATAGCATTAGGTATCAAGCATCCTGCCTCCTGGTTCTTAGTACAGGTGGAAGCTTGTGTTGATAATCTGTAAGTTTACCAAGTCTTACCACAGACTTTGATTGTATCTAACTAATGCATTCTAGCTCATCGAGAACTCTCCATCCTCATGTGAATTCCCTTCCTGTACACTGTCGGCATTCCTCCCTTACACTTTTGCCAGCACAGCCTTCGCCCAAATCGACTCTATAAACCGCTAATATCCGAAACATGGACGATGGCTTGATTGAATATCCAACTGGATTTGGGTTAAAGGACATGGTTGCTTATGGGAACACTGGCATGGTCTGCCTTGACGCTGCGTCGGAGACTGTTATCAAAACCCCGCATGACGCAACGCATGCCGACTCCCTTCAGGTGGAAAGGCGCATCTACGAGCGATTCGAAGAACGCGGTGGCCATGATGGACTTTTGCGATATCACGGGCCTTTTGATAGATTTGGTATACGCCTTGAGTACGCACCTGGATTCAATCTCTGTTCAACCCTTTCCAATCGTATGGACATTTGTTCTACCCAAAGATTCCGTTGGGTGCAGCAAATAACAGATGCACTTTCTTTTGTACACTCAGTTAATGTTATTCATGGAGACCTTACCTGCAGTAATGTTTTCTTGACAAAAGAACTAAATGCTAAGCTAGGAGACTTTGGAGGGTCCTCACTCGACGGATCCAATCTGCTGGTTGCAGTGACCGAAAGCCACCGGTACCCGGGAGTGTTATTATCAACACATGCCGACATTTTTGCTCTCGGTTCCGTGATCTATCACATCATGACAGGAACCGCTCCATACCATGGTCGTTCAGATGAACAAATTGACGCTCTATTTCAAAAAGGCGAGTTTCCCAGCACTACCTCGCTTGGGCCCATTGGGCAAGTGATCACGAAGTGCTGGCAGGCAAAGTACGAAAGTGCTGAGGACGTAAGCAATGATATTAAAGGTAATGAATGTATATGCCAAAATCGAGCCCGCTGTACTAACAAAAGTGCCAGCAATCATCTCCGATCGAAAACCCAATTGGACAAGAACACTACATCCTTCGTCACCCCCCTTCTTCTTCCTCGCGATAGTAATCGTTACGGTTTTTCTTGCTAAGACGTCAGCGCGGTCTAGATTAGGTTGGAAGTAAATACACTGAGGCTCTCCTATCATTGTAACCATTACAAGCATTTGGGGCATGGTCCTGGTTTGGAACTAGAGCCAAATTGAATGACTTGGCCGTTAACCCCCTTTGCTGGCGTGGCTTCATCACCACAATGATACCCAGAGTCCCTAGCCTTTGAACATCCACTTGTATCGTATTTTCGCTTTATGTTTTTATGCTTTGGATCTGCGGTGCAGCCTGTGTACTTCTCTATGTTCTCAACAAAGGTGCACATTTTGCTGTTTCCTGCATGTATTAGTATTCAGGTAGGTATATACGATAGGGAAAACTAACAAGGCTCAACTTAGATAGTAACACTTAAAGGATAATGAAACTGATGGTATCTAGTTTCAAGATCTAACATTCTTTCTACGACTATATGCGTAGCTTTATATCGAACGTTACAATCGTCTTCCAAGATTTGTTGTCTACCTCCACCTGCAGTTTACGGAAGTCAATAGTAAGCTGCAGCCTAGCTTAGTGAGGAAAGCTACCTCAACAGACATGGGCTATGCTGGCGCACATTTAGTGGTGCACCCGTAATGGTTGCTGTCGTGGGATGATCTGCAAATTGTGACTGGTAAGATGCGCCAAGTCAGGAACAGGGTGGAGATGGCAGGTGACAACTAGTCATGCATCCCTAGACTAAAATAGTTGGTCTTAGGAAAAGCGGGGGTTTTGGCGCATCAGCTCACATCCAAGGCCAACGTAAGGTGATGAGGACTGTGGCGTATTGTAGAAGAGCAATCTGTATACGTCATACCAACAAAACTCCTACCTCATCGGATTACGAGCTGTTGTGAATTGAAGAATAAAGAGAGATACGTATTATAAAGTGCTCTAATTAATTTAGAGAGATTAGCTTACTAGCAGTGTTGTCAGATTGTGATGTTTGATCAAGGACTGTGATGAATAGCTGTGATAAAGATGGATTGTATTGATCTCTGCTGATTCTGCTTTATCAGGAGACGCGCCTGCGCGTCTCCTTAAAGATATCTGTTTTGCTTCTTCTGATCTCAGCCTCCACTATTCCAGCTTGAACAAGGATCAGTCTTGGCGGCTAGTCTGATTGGCTGCATATAGAATGCGGGTGCTCAGGGCCACACTCAGAATCCGCTGCTTCCACTACTAGTATTTGACAAGTGTATAATGAAGTATTGTAATACGTGGAGTTGAGCTAGCCGGTCGTCGATTTCAAAAATTCAGCGTAAACAGCAGTACATTCTTTTGAATAGGCAGCGTCTAGGCCTTTTGCAATATAGTATGAAATTAGAGAATCCAATATTAATGATTCCATAGAATATCTCGTACATGGTAGGGAAAATATGTGCTAGGATAATATAGTACTTTCTATTTTTACTAGATCTAACCAGTTAACGTCCATCCCTGCGTAGCGGGACACCCTGTGTGCCGGGACCAGTCAATCAGCTCGCTTGAATTCTAGACTCTTGCTTTAGATGAGCAAGCTGATTGACTGGTCCCGGCACACAGGGTGTCCCGCTACGCAGGGATGGACGTTATATTACTAACATTCTGGACACAGATCAGTGATTAATCTAAATAATGGCCCTACATAGTACTAGACAAGAGATAATAGTAGTTGGAAAATGGAAGATTCCTCGCTTACGACAATATCAATAACTACTGCCTACGGAGCAGCGAAAAATGCCGCCTAATATTGATCAAGCTTCAGATAGTTTCTGGATTCAACTCTATACTACACTATCTGAACGTGAATGTAAGCTACTAAAGTAAAGAATATCGGCATGGTCTCACGACCGTTTCTTTAGTGTGTAGTAGCGTAGTTTTACTGCACCTGGCGACCGGCTAGGGAAGCGTTTACAAATCTCTTCCCACTCCATTCCCTGTTTATCTTTCAATGATAGTAAAAGCACTTCTTCTGACTCTAGCCACTGCTTGTGCGTCCGTCGGCTGTGTTCTTTTGTATTTTCCTCTCCATTCTCATCGTCTTCGTCACAGCTGTCATTTGAGCGGTCCGTTCCATTACTAACAGCGTCACTATGGGCGCTGTTCATTCGTTTCTTGTTCAAGCGCTCGCAGTTACTGAGATCTGCAGGGCTGCCGTTACAACGGTATCCCAGCAGCAACCAAGAATCTGGCGATAGCTGGGTCATGCGGATAACTTTGCCTTGTTCGCCAGTGACCTTGTGACCTAGCGCTAGTAGACTGAGAGAATGATTTGAGCTGGAAAGATGCAATATCGCTGTCACGACCGAAGAGTCATCTGGAATAGCGCAAAGTGTTAGATCTTTGATCTGACAAGACATGCTAGATCTCGATTCATAGTCGATATTATTTCCATCTTCGGCTGTCGTGCCTAGAGAATTCGATCCTGAGAGATAAATTTGCGACCCTTTTTCGGTGTTGAGCCGCTCCGATATCGAACTTTGTTGTAGCTGGGTCAATCTTACTTGTTGTGATGGCTTCGTAGGTGCCGTATTGTAGTCCAATGATCTGGGAGCAGTGTTTGAATTCCCACGTCCCATCTCAGGTGTCCATGCCCTGCGTCTAGGCCGTTGGGATCTCGATGGAGGGATGATACATGACCCATTGCGGCCGAGTTTCTTTTGAATGATTTCCCCAGTTTTTCTACCGCTACTTTGTGTATTCACCACATCCCTACTGGATTCTTGGCCAATGTCTTCTTCTGGCTCCAGTTCTTCGGAAAGGGCTATAGATCGTCGTGCTTGTAGTCGCTCTTCAACTGATCCCTTGATATAAGTGCCGTCGCGATGTTCTACACTGTAGAGATCAGTTGTAGGTAGGGCTAGACTTGTGGTACAATATTCGTCGTGGCCAGCATTTAAAGAACTGAGAATAGAGCTGTCACGAGTACCAAGACGGGAGGCTTGGTCGTAAGAATGCGGCAAGGGCGTTGGCTTAGGCATATATGTACGTTCGATTGTGGGGCTCCGTGCCTCTCGCTCAGCCATCCTTCGCTGCTTCGATGGACGACGACGATCCAGCTCTGGATTCGACACAGCGTTCGGCACTGCTTCTAGGATACTTATTGTTTCATCACCAACCAAATATTGATACGATCGTTTTTGGCTGTTTGATGATCCATTTACCACACTAGCGACGCTAGAGAACGTATCATCTTCCACTAATGGTCCTAATTTGACTGCGTCAATGCAGCTCCGTGTACTGATAAGACGATTCCACTCACCATGGTAAGTACGTTCGATATCATCTATAGAGAAAGCGTACTCTACAGATGTATGGAGATCACTGTGCTGTTTGGCGTGGTCCTTCTCATTGGCAATGGTACAATACTGGCTTTTTTCATGAGAATTGGGAGAACCGTTATTGAGCTGAAACTTTGTAGCGTTGTGGTGATTGCTGGTTGCGTCACTTTCGGTAATCGAACGTAAGTCTATCCGGCATTAGTGGAATTAGCATCACAATCAACTTGAGTACTTGCCTTGACCGCCTCCATGAAACGACTCATTCAAGTCTAAACCCAATGTTGCGTGGTCCACAACTCTCTCATCGCACAACTCACGGCGAAGCTGGTAGTGACTATCGCCCATTGCAAACTCATGGGTGCCTGTTCTATGGTCTACTCCAAACAGATCGCACTTTTCTGAGTCAATGCCCTCAACATCTTCCACATGGCCTGTTGTGTGTACCTGGAGTGTCTGTTGAGGGACGGCGGGAAGGTTGTTTCCGCTTTCTAGATATGACTCAGTCTGCATTCTTTCCCTTACGTAACTAGGGAGCAAGTATTACCTTGGAGTAGCAATCCTAAAGATTGAGTTGCTACTTCTCCATCATTTCTACGAACATTCTTTTCAGTCTTCTTAGCCTTAGGCTTAGATTGTGTACGCTTGAGTAATGTAGGGTCGTAATGTCTGAACTCAGATGAAGTGTTCTGAGAAACTGAAGTAAAAGTAGCCATGATAGGATTTTGATAGAATCTGATTAACTCTGGCCGAAACAACAGTGCGGTATCTGAGAATTTAAGTAGAAAACCTCTCGGTGAGCTAAGGACCTCCCTAAGGGAGCAAACATCTAGCTCGGAACGCGAAACCGATTGCAGAAGGCTATCCTCGGCGTCCCCGGCGCGACCTTCATTTGGCTGTGTCGCACTATTGATTTGACTGCTGCTGCGAAAGCTTCCAAGGGTTTGCGTGAGTTCATGAGAGGGTCCGTTCCTGGAAGAACCAATCACACCAGAGGGAGTGGTCATGATATCTATTCGACCGAAGGAGTGCGAGTGACGACGCCGGAAACCAGAACTAAGACACGAGCATGAATGCTATCCATTGGACAGCGCTCTACCTTCCGCCAAAACGGTGGCGGAGACGGCTGTACTCATCCCACGTAGTCCATGCTAACTCGAACACCAACGCCAAGCTGTTGACTGCAGGCATCTATGCAAACGCTCTCTGCTGGTCACACTGCAGCGTTACAAAGGAGAGAAAAATCGTTTGACCGCGTCATCACCAATAGATCCAGCTCTTGCAGACCGCGGATAACTAAGCTCAGATTGGCCAGCGTGTTGTGTAGAAGGACCGAAAGTTGAAAGAGGCAATGTTGGATGGCCAGATCTGAGACATGAGCGCCTGTGGTCAAAGTTCTGTTAATCTCTCACTTGCTACGCCAACGGCGATGCCGAGTCGCCAGCAGGCTGTCTCCTGACCTCTGCCCCTTGCTTGTCACACTGCAACAATGCAACACTAGAGGCAATACGGACGTGCTATGCGTGGCGAAGTAATATGGATCCCTGAGCGCAAGACTAGCGTCATACGCGAGTAAGAAATCATACCCAGGAAGGAGAGCGCCCCCTCAGGTATGACGCGTCCTAACGAGGCAGACTGGAGGTTACGCTCCACCGAAGGAGCAAGGTGTGGGAGGCAGAGTAGCCAGTGCTGGGATTACGGCATGGAATCTCATGCAGACTGCCTTAATCAAGCTATGCGTGAGGCAGTGCGTTGCAGAAGCACTGATATCTCAGTGATCCAGAGAAAAAGGAGAAAGCGAATAGGTTAATCAATCAGCTGCGTAAGTGACTGAACCTTGCGAGGGGCGAACGCCCCTCCTTCAACCGTGGATGTGCTCCGGATGAAGCCAGTGCAGCAACTATCGACGGAACCTAGACATAGTGTACGATAGTTATTCTGTTAGTATGTTCATTGCTGTTACTGTGTATTGGGTTGTGGCGATAAGTTCAGAGATGCATGAATTGTCGGAGCCCAGGGTGTGCGAAGACTGGGGTAACCAGACTCCATCAGGACCGAAGAATTCTAAGAGAGGCGGGCATTTCAGAGATAAAGGGGCACTAGAGCAAGGCGGCCTAATTCATCCAGGCTGGTAGCCGGGCGTGAGATAATTGCCGCTTGAAGGATGGTTCAGCTGTGTAGAAAAGGGGCGGCGACTGGGCGCAGAGGAGGATTAGTAAATAGAGGTGATAAGAGTAGAGAGTATTGGACAAAGAGGGGGATAGAAGATAACGTTGGAAGAAGGCTTTTTATGACAGACGTTGGAGGTCAGTTTCCTATTTGAGCGTAGTGCAAAAGCCGTACATGAGGTCCGGATTACCTCAACAGGGAGCATCGATTTCCTAACGCAGGCTTGCCGTCTGATTGTTTACTTGTTACACGGGGTTGGGATCTATACTTCTCTGTCCTGGTCCGCACTAAGGCAGGCGAGTATTACGCTAGTGTTCCGTGAGAGATTGTCTGGCGATGCAGTGGAGTGGTGTGCTTGAATAGAAGGTAACAAAAGGTTCGACAACTACTAATCTATA